GCAGGGCAGTGAGTTGCTGCCTGCAGAGGCCACGATGCCTGTAGTCCCAAGCCTGCCCACCAGTAATGTATCCACCCTGGCTTTGGGGTGCCTCATTGTGTCTCTCTTTGTCTCTTTCTGTGTATTCTTGATATATTGTTATCGCCGTCAGGTATCCCCTCCTCATGAACCAAACCCCTATGTCGAGGCGGGTCCCCGGCAGGTTACACTTATGTTTGTTTGTTTGCTTTTTCTTGAAATTTCTAATTTCCTCTTCATCTGTAAGTTCTGTGACTATATTATTCCCCATTTTTGCTTTATGGTGGTCTTGTTGCCACTGTATCTCTGGTTCTCTTCAGTCTTATAGTCAGCTTTACTTTGTTATTGTTAGGTACCATCGAGTCAGGACCAACTCATAGCGACCTTATGCACAACAAAAACTGGTCAGGTCTTGCACCAACTTCACAATCATTGCTATGCTTGAGCCTACTGCTGCTGCTGCTGTCCGAATCCATCTTGTTGGGGTTTTCCTCTTTTTCTCCAGGCCTTTACTTTACCAAACATGATGACCTTCTCCAGCGACAGGTCCCTCCTGATAATATGTCCGAAGTATCAGAGACAAAGTCTGGCCATCCTAGCTTCCAAGGAGAATTCTGGCTGCACTTCTTCCAAACAGCTTTGTTTGTTCTTTTGGCAGTCCATGGTACTTTTAACATAACTCCAACAACATAACTCAAATGCATCAATTCTTCTATAGTCTTCCTTATTTAGTGTCCAGCTTTCTTTCACATGCATATGAAATTACTGAAAATATCATGACTTGGGTCAGGCACACTTTAGTCCTTAAACTGACATCTTGCCCCTTGAACCTCTTGAAAGAGGTCTTGTGCAGCAGATTTGTCTAATGCAATACATCGTTTGATTTTTTGACTGTTCCTTAATGAAGTCTATGACAACTCAATCTTCTCTCTATTTATCTTGATGTTATTTATTGGCCCAATTCTGAGGAGTTTTGTTTTCTTTACATTGAGGTGCAACCTATATTGAAGGCTGTGCTCTTTGATCTTCATCAGTAAGTATTTTCAGTCCTCTTCATTTTCAGCAAGCAAAGTTGTATCATCTGCATATTGCAGGTTGTTAATGCATGTTCTTCTTCGTATAATCCAGCTACTTGGATTATGGCCCATCATTCAGATTGAATAAGTATGGTGAGAGAATACAACCCTGGCACAAACATCCCTTAATTTTAAACCAGTGTTCCCTTGTTTAAACACCTTTCTCTTGGTCTATGTGCAGGTTCCTTATGAGTACAATTTAGTGCTCCGTAATGCTCAGTCTTTACAATGTTGTTCAGACCTTTTCATGATCTATACAATCGAAAGCCTCTGCATAGTCAATAAGTCACAGGGAAACATCTTTCTGGTATTACCTGATTTCAGCCAAGGTCCATCTGACATCAGCAATGATATTCCTAGTTTCACTTCCTTTTCTGAATCCAGCTTGAATGTCTGGCAGTTCTCTGTAAATGTACTGTTGGAGCCATTTTAAAATTACCTTTAGCAAAATTTTACTTGCATGTGATATTAATGATATTGCCCAATGATATCATTGGGTCATCTCTATTTGGAATGGGCACAAATATGGATCTCTTACCATTGGTTGGACACATAGCTGTCTCCCAAATTTTTGGTATAGATGAGTGAATACCTCCAATGTTGCAACAGTTTGTTGAAATATTTCCATTTGTATTCTATCCCCATAGCCTTGTCCTTAGCCAATGCCTTCAATGCACTTGGACTTCTTCCTTCAGTATCACTGGCTCTTGGTCATATGCTACTCCTTGAAATGGTTGAACAACCATTTCTTTTTGATATGGTGACTCTTTTCTTCCTTCTTCTTTTGATGCTTTCTGCATCATTCAATATTTTGCCCACAGAATCCTTCAATATTTTAAGTTAAGGCTTGAATTTTTTCTTCGTTCTCTCAACTTGAGAGATGCTAAGCATGCTCTTCCCTTTTAGTTTTCTAACTCTGGGTCTTCACACATTTCATTATAATATTTAGCTTTGCCCTTTCAAGCTGCCCTTTGAAATTTTCTGCTCAGCCCTTTTACTGCCTCATTTATTCCATTTGCTTTAGCATCTCTATGCTGGAAAGCAAGTTTCAGAGTCTCTTCTAACATCTATTTTGGGCGTATCCTTCTTTCGTGTCTACTTAATGACCTTTTTCTTTCTTCTTGTATGATGTTCTTGCTGTCATCCCACAACTCTCTGGTCTTCAGTCTTTAGTGTCTATTCTTGAGATGATCTCTAAATTCAGGTGGGATGTGTTTAAGGTCATATTGTGGCTTTGATTGACTTGTTTCAATTTTCTTTAGCTTCAGCCTGAACTTTCATATGAGCAATTGATGGTCAGTCCCATAGTCTGCCTCTACTTGTTTTGGTTGATGATATGGAGGTTTTCCACAGATGTGGTCTATTTGATTTCTGTGTATTTCATCTGGTAAGGTCCATGTATATAGTCATTTTTGTGTTGTTTAAAAAAGGTATTTGCAATGAAGAAGTCATTGGTCTTGCAAAACTCTATCATGCAATCTCCAGCATCATTTCTATCACCATGACCATATTTTCCAATAACTGATTTTTTCTCTTTGTTTCCAAATTTTGCATTCCAATTGCCAGTAGTTATCAGTACATCTTGATTGCATGCTTTATCAATTTCAGACTTAAGAAGTTGATGGAATTCTTCAGTTTCATCATTACTGGCTTTAGTGGTTGGTGTGTAAATTTGAATAATAGTGGTATTAACTGGTCTTCCTTGGAGCTATATGGATATTATCCTTTCACAGATAGCATTGTACTTTAATACAGATCTTGAAATGTTCTTTTTTATGATGAATGTGACACCATTTCTCTTCAATTTGTCATCCCCCACATAGTAAGCCATGTGATTGTCAGATTCAGAATGGCCAATATCAGTTCATCTCAGTTTATTAATGCATAGGCTATTGAGTCTAGATGATATTGCCATGTATGTCAAACTCAGATTGATATCTGCTGTTGTTGGTTCTCCATCCAAAAAACTTCCTTTAGTATTTTTTGCAAATTGCTCTTGTTTTTTGCTAATTCTTTTGATTTACGTGTTTTTCGGGTTTTTTGTTTTGTTTTGTTTTTTGCTGTCATATTTGATAGACTGTTTTGTTGGATAACTGATTCTTGACTCATAATTTGATTTTGTATATGTCATTTCAGAGTTTTATATATGTCACTGCATTGTCTTCTTGCCTGCATGGTTTCTGCCAAGAAATCAGAGCTTAGTCTTAATAGTTCTCCTTTGTAGGTTCCATTTCCCTTTTCCTGAGCTGCTCTCAGGATTCTTTCCTTGTTTCTGTTTTTGATTATAATGTGTCTTGGTGTTTTTATTTTGGGGTCTATCCTGTTTGGGGGGTTCTAGTTTGGCACTGTGGGTTAATTCACTGGACTGCAAAGTCAGTTTGAACCACAAAGTCAATGGTTCAAGCCTACCAGCCACTCCTTGGAAATCCTACAGGAGTCATTATGGGTTGGAATCGACTTGACGGCACTTAGCAACAAACAACAACAATACTGTTTGGAGTTGATTCGGCTACTTGAATAATTATCTTCTCATCTTTCATGGTGTTAGGGAAGTTTCCTTCCATCAACTCTTTGACAATATTCTCTATGGTATGGATTTTTTTTTTTTTTTTTTGTCTCTTCTTGTTCTGGAATTCCTACCGCATGTTGGTATTCCTCCTGATAGTGTCCCACATGAATATTAGGCTTTCTTCAGATTGGTTTTTGTTCTTTCTCTGATTGTTCCTCTGGCAGATAAATACTGAGAGATTTTTCTTCAAGCTCAGTAATTCAACTTTCCATTGATTCAATTCTATTGCTTTGCCCTTTCGGTGTATTATATATTTTTTGAAATCTTGTTAATCTTTTAATTGCTTTCTAATTGCTGTTTTTGTATGGTTCCAGGTTTTTAAATTATTTTGCCAATTTGTTTCCAGAATTTTCCCAGAGTTTTGTCTACATTTTCCTTGATTTAATCTGTAATTTTCTCAGTTTTTCTTACAATCTGTTGAAGTTGCCTAATTAACATTCTTTTTAAATTCCTTATCAGGTAGTTCTCATACCATTTTTGGTGCTATATTTTCTGTATTTTTGTGACTTGTTAGAGGAACTCTGTCTTGTATTTTTGTGTAAGCTGAAATTGTCTGTTTTCTCTGAGACATGGTATTTATATTTAGCTGATTACTGTATATTGGTGTATTCTCAGGCACTCACCACTTGTCTCCTGATGGCTGTGATAAAGACCAGAAGTGTGAACACAGTTAGTTCTCTGTTCACTGTTCAGGATGGGTTCACATACCTCCAGAAACAGGGGCACTGTGCCAGGCATACAACCCCAGGCAGAGTAGAGGCTGTGTAGGAAAGGGGGCCACTGGATGATGGGTTGGTATGGGCAGGGACTGGCCACTCCCTTGGCTACCATGAGGGCACAGGAACAAGGGAGAATTGCACTGCCTCACTACGAACCTCTAGCTGTGTCCTGTGTCCACTGCCACTATACCAACAGTCATTGTCAAAAGCTCAAGACGGTCACCATGCAGCACACCAGCCCATCATCATCCTGTTTTTCTTCTCTCTCATTGCTCTTGTTCAGCTTCCTCTTCTAGTTGGCTCTCAATCCACTTCTCTGCCCTATCCTCTGATGTTCAGGGTTCCAGGACATCTAATGCAGATAGGCTGTACCTATTTCAATTGGTCTCTCATGTCTTAGTTACAGAGGGTTAGCTCAGTGCTTCTGCTTACTGTGCCATCTTGTTCTGGACTATTTCATTTTATCCTATTAGTTCTCAACCACTATAATTTGTTGCTTCTACTGTTCATTTAAGTGAGATAATTTTATAATAATCTCTTGAATATTTCAACAGTTCTAAAAATCAATGATTCTAAGAGTTTACTTAGAGACATTACAGATATATCCTCTACTACTGCAACTCCATTTTTAGAACTGTCCCAAGGAATGCTTAATCCAAGGAAAATACAAGACCACAGGAAGAACAAAGATCTCTTTCTTCAGACTGCTGTGTTATTGACCAAAGTGTGTCCCTTCTTCATGATCTCCCACCAGTGGTCAACTCACAAAATCTGTGCATCTAAAGGAAATACCCTAGGTTTTTCTGAGTTAGAACATGGGATCCTACCATAAAAGGAAAGTAGTCTAGCTTCGAGTAGTCTAGCTTAAAGTAATTAGCCAGTGCCTATACCTAACTTTCAGGATATCGCATTCTTCTCCTCTAGTGGATTAATGCATTGGACTGCAAGGTTGGTTTGAACCGTAAGGTCAGCGATTCAAGATCACCAGATGCTCCTCAGAAACGCTATACAGGGTCACTATGGGTTAAACTGACTCAACTGCACTACACAATGACAACTGTTAATTTGAACAAGATAATTTTATAATTATCTCTTGAAGATTTTAAAAGTTCTAAAAATCAATGATTCTAAGAATTTACTTAGAGACATGATAGATCTCAGTAGACATTGTAGATCTCAGATATCCTCTATTGCTCCACCTCCATTTTTAGAACAGTCTTAAGGGATGCTCAATCCAAGGAATATAGAAGACCACAGGAAAAAGAAAGATCTCTTCCTTTAGACTACTGTGTCATTGTATCCCTTCCTCATGACCTCCTGCCAGTAGTCAACCCACAAACTCTATGCATGTAAAGGAAATACCCTAGGTTTTTCTGAGTTAAAATAGAGGATACTACCATAAAAGGAGGAGTCCTGGTGTGGCACTGTGGGTTAATGCGTCAGACTGCAAAGCCATTTGAACTGCAAGGTCAGTGGTTCAAGCTCACCAGCTGCTCCTCAGAAACCCTATACAGGGTCGCTCTGAGTCAGAATCGACTCGATAGCACTTAACAACAACAACCATAAAAGGAAAGTAGTCTAGCTTTGTGATAGCTGCCAGTGCATATACCTGACTAATTTTCAGGACATCTAATTCTTCTTCCCTAGTGGGTTAATGCTCTGGACTGCAAGGTTGATTTGAATTGCAAGGTCAGCAGTTCAAGCTCCTCAGAAACCCTATGAGTTGGAACTAACTCGACAGCATTTAACAACAACAAACAAATGCTGACCACAAGGTCGTCATTTTCAAACCCACCAGCTGTTTCAAGGGATAACGGTAATCTTTCTGCTCCCATAAAGATTTATAGCCTCAGAAACCTTATTCAGGGTTGATGTAAGTCAGAATAGACTCAATGACAGTGGGGTTTGAGTCCTGTTCTTTTGTCGGTGGTGTTTTTGTGTGTTTTTCTTTTTGATAGATAGCCAGTCCCAATTTTCTGAGGCACAAGGCCTATTTCTAGGATATTAAAAAAAAAAATAAAAACGGTGGCCATCAAGTCGATTTCAACTTACGGCAACCCCATTGTGTCAGAGTAGAACTGTGCTCTGTAGGGTCTTCAACTGCTGTTTGTTCAGATCACCAGTCCTTTCTTTTGAGGTGGACTCAAACTTCCAACCTTTTCAGTTAGCAACCAAATACATTAACAGTTTGCACCATACAGGGGACTCCTATAGTATATTAGGTATATTCATTGCCTGGCCCATGATAGTTATTGAACTTAACACTGACCCCTTGACTGAAAATCAGATTTCTAAAAAGACATTTTCTATAATCTGCCCCATCTCATAGGTGTGAAGGCTTCCATGCACCTGTATTTGCCATTCTTTGGGACTTGATCTGCATCTTCTTTAAATCATATGGAATTCAGCAGTGACATACCTGAGGACAAGCCCAACAGTGACTTCAGCTTGCTGATGAGTGGGTGTTTGCCCTCATTGCAGAAGGAGCCTGAGAAGTCATCCAGATCAATGGCCCAAACCATGGCCCCACCAAAATTGTTCTCCTTGACAAAGTCAACCTGTGGGCAAAACGAGTACTTATCAACTCAAATCAGGTGAAATGCATGCAACAAATGGACAATGGGACATGGGGTGACAGATGATATTAAGGAGATAGCTGCAGTTGGGGCCAGGACCCTATCACACTTTCTTTAATGAAAGTGTATATAACTTTTTTATTTATGGCATAAGATTGACTAACTCAGTTCAATTCTTTTTTTATCCCAGTTGATGAACTCTTGACTAACAACAATAAATAAAGCTAATATTTATTTAATATTGGTATTTCTGGTTACACTTTGGTTCACAAGAACTATGTATGAGGTAGGTACAATTAAAATTATTCATTCACAGATTTGTCTCAGTCATCAGTGATTTAGAACCTGGTATGTCTAACGCCAGAACCTGAACTCTACAAATGTACCATAAGGCCCCTTTTCTCCCCCTTACCTATCACCTTTCTCTTAACTAGTATTATGCAAAAATAAACTAACAGAGTAGTATTGTAGAAAGTAGACTCTAACAAGACAGCATCTGCAATTCCTGCCATCTCTCTGCCATTTTCCAGCCATGTGACTTTGGACTAGGTACAGCATCTATGATTCTCAGCCTATCTGTCTGTATAATGGAAAGGTTGTTTCCTACTTTGTATAGACGCGAGTATGATATCCTAAAAGCATTTAGGTAAAAATGCAAAGATTTTTTATTTGTTTGTTTGTTTTAATTATTTTCACTAAAGATGATGGTCTTAGTCCAGCTTTATAAAAATTCATAAGAATTAGTAGAAATTTATATTGAACAAAAATTGGGAATTAATTTTTATCATAAAAGACTATTCTAATATCAGATCAGAGAAGAACTGATGCGTTTGTATAATGGTTGGCAAAGAAAATTGAAAGTACTACAGAATGCACAAAGAACAAAAAAATTTGTCTTGAAAGAAGGACAGCCAGAATGTCCTTTTGAATAGAGGATGTTGAGACTTCGTCTCATGTATTTTAGACATGCTATCAGGAGGGTTCATTCCCTGTAGAAGGACATCATGT